CATCTCTGTCTACATATAGAGGTATGGGAGGTTGAGATATCCTACACCCCCTTCTTACATCTCTGTCCTACATACACTGGTATGGGAGGTTGAGATATTCTACACCCCCTTCTTTCATCTATGTCTACATATAGAGGTATGGGAGACTGAGATATCCTACACCCCCTTCTTACATCTCTTTCTACATATAGAGGTATGGGAGGTTGAGATATCCTACTCCCCCTTCTTTCATCTCTGTCTACATATAGAGGAATGGGAGGTTGAGATATCCTACACCCCCTTCTTAGATCTCTGTCTACATATAGAGGTATGGGAGGTTGAGATATCCTACACTCCCTTCTTACATCTCTGTCTACATATAGAGGTATGGGAGGTTGATATATCCTACACCCCCTTCTTACATCTCTGTCCTACATATAGAGGTATGGGAGGTTGAGATATCCTACACCCCCTTCTTACATCTCTGTCTACATATAGAGGTATGGGGGACTGAGATATCCTAAACCCATTCTTACATATCTGTCTACATATAGAGGTATGGGGGACTGAGATATCCTAAACCCATTCTTACATATCTGTCTACATATAGAGGTATGGGGGACTGAGATATCCTACACCCCCCTTCTTACATCTCTGTCTACATATAGAGGGATGGGGGACTGAGATATCCTACACCCCCTTCTTTCATCTCTGTCTACATATAGAGGTATGGGAGGTTGATATATCCTACGCCCCCTTCTTACATCTCTGTCCTACATATAGAGGTATGGGAGGTTGAGATATCTTACACCCCCTTCTTACATCTCTGTCTACATATAGTGGTATGGGAGGTTGAGATATCCTACACTCCCTTCTTACATCTCTGTCTACATATAGAGGTATGGGGGACTGAGATATCCTAAACCCATTCTTACATATCTGTCTACATATAGAGGTATGGGGGACTGAGATATCCTAAACCCATTCTTACATATCTGTCTACATATAGAGGTATGGGGGACTGAGATATCCTAAACCCATTCTTACATATCTGTCTACATATAGAGGTATGGGGGACTGAGATATCCTAAACCCATTCTTACATATCTGTCTACATATAGAGGTATGGGGGACTGAGATATCCTACACCCCTTCTTACATCTCTGTCCTACATACACTGGTATGGGAGGTTGAGATATCCTACACCCCCTTCTTACATCTCTGTCTACATATAGAGGTATGGGCGATTGAGATATCCTAAACTCCCCTCTTACAGATCAGTCCTTATCTCACACACATATAAGAGATTAAGATATCCTACACTGATAGATATTGGGGTTGGGGATAAATACTTATATTTTCAATAAAAAACAAACCACTATTAAAATGTGTCTTCCATCTTTTTCAGATTAAAAGCTTAGATGGATTATCCCGCTTTGTTGCCCTTGGAACTCTTAATTTAGCTAATAATGCTTTAACGTGGCATGAATTGGGCAAAATAAGGCACGTTCATGTCCTAAATCTTAGTCTCCATGGCAACCCTCAACTGGAAAAAGACCCGTACTGTAAGTACAATTGTATATGTCAATCATTGGAAATAAGTTGTGATGTTTAAAATTGTTTCATTAAAGCTTTTTCACTCTTAATTCAGATTACACACATCCCCAAATTGACAGGAACTCCTTTTTTTCAAGATTTGGTTTGTTTAAAAAAAAAATACCCACAAAAAGATTTCATTCCGAAGCAACGAATTTGTGGGACTCACTGAAAAGTGCAGGTCTCTGCTACTGCGAAACCATTCTGTTTCTACCAGCATTGCCTATTAATTAAACATATATGTTTTGAATTTTTTGTTAAGTTTTAAATTTGTCTTGAATATTTCATGATAAGAGAAATCGTGAAATAACGCCGTATTACTGCTAGTGTACAGTTGTTTCATGTAATGGAATATGTATAATATACATTCTTACCAATACAGTACATCACCATCGGTACTAAAATAGAATTGCTGGACATCCATTTTCAATATTCTTGACTCTGAACAGAATATATATTTATATATATAATAAATATAGATGTAATTATAGAATTTCTCCCAGATTTAAGTGCAGCATCAATGTCATTTACATACCGAAAATATTTCTATGTCAGAATATAGCATGAAATCATTAGATCTTATGATTAGAATACAGGAATAGTTTAGCAAATTCACTGGTTGAAAATGCTCAATTTTAGGGTCCAAAATAGTGAGTCTCCTTCTAAAATAGGGAGAGTTGGTATGTATATATATTACGTGTACATTGCTTTTTAGGTCACCTGAGCTTTAGCTCAAGTGACCTATTGCTATCCGTCGTCGTCTGTCGTCCATCGTCTGTCGTCCATTAACATTTAACATTTTCGACTTAAGCTGAAATATAGGCAAAGGGATTTCATTGATACTTCATGGGAAGGTTACTGACATCACCCTGACCAAGTGTTATTATTTTTCGGGTCGATCAGAAATCCAATATGGCCGCCACGTTGCGGCCGCCATTTTGAAAAACTATTTCAAACTTAAAGTCAAGTTCTGCTAGGCCGATTGTACTGAAACTTTGTAGGAATTATCTACTCATGGTCTTGACAAAGTGTTGTTATTTTTCGGGTCAATCAGAAATCCAATATGGCCGATTCCGCCGCCATTTTGAAAAACTATTTCAAACTTAATGTCAAGTTTTACTGGGCCGATTGAACTGAAACTTGATAGGAATGATGGATTCATGGTCCTGACAAAGTGTTGTTCTTTTTTGGGTCGATCAGAAATCCAATATGGCCGCCAAGACCGCCATTTTGAAAAACAATTTCAAACTTAAAGTCAAGTTCTGCTGTGCCGATTGAACTGAAACTTGGTAGGAATGATTGACTTATGGTCCTGACAAAGTGTTGTTATTTTTCGGGTCCATCAGAAATCCAATATGGCTGCCACCGCCGCTATTTTGAACATAACTATTTCAAAAATAACTATTTCAAACTTAAAAACAAGTTCTAATAGGCCGATTTAACTGAAACTCGGTCTAGGAATGATAAGCTCATGGTCCTGACAAACTTAAGTTAACGTTATACTTAACTTTTTTTTTTACTCAAATTGGTACATATTTCAACAACAAAAATAAATGCTGTAGGACTCAGGTGACCGTTAAGGCCCATGGGCCTCTTGTTTCTTGATTGATATAAAAATCCTCTTTACCCAGAAGAAAGCTCTCTGATATGTAGATCAGGATCCTATGTACAAACTGTTGTTAATTACTCTTCTATCATTTTATGGTTGTGCAAAGTATTGACCAATTCTAAACTGTCATTGAAATTGTGTTTAACTATAGATATACCACCTTTCTCAATTGCAAAAGATTTGAAACTTCCATACTTGTTGAGCTCAGAACATGTATAGTTTGGCTTGAAGATAAACTGATTTCTGCAAGAATTCTATTCATGCATTTGCATGATGTGCTCGGAGGGGGACAAGTATGTAGTGAAATATTGTTAAAATGTTCCTATCAATGATACTGTAAACGCTTGCCTCACAGTTTAAATGCCCAAAAAATATTTGTATGTGATCACATTATATCCCTTTTAATGACATCCATAACTGTTATATACCCTACACATTTCTCAGTCCTTTCATGATTATGATATAATTAATCCATGAAGGTGAAATATTAAGTATTTTCATACACACTGAAGTGAAATGGTCTAGAATATATTACCCGACAGGTGATATTGCTTTATATCTGATAATGTAGGTTCATTTTGTCATAATAAGTATTGTATGGGTACAGATGTGTCAAACCAGGCAGCAATGGATACATGTAAATGGATTGTTTACCTTTTTCATCAATACCCATGTGCTCCAAGCTACACATCAGCATCATCATCATCCGTGTGCTAATGGAAACACAGAAAGCTTCACAAAAAAACATACCTGTACCATACTAGACTCTGTATCGTATTTTGGCAGGTCTTCTCCATTTCAATTCTAATCCTATGATCAAATCATTGATTTGTAAATTGAATTTAAGTTATTTTGGTGTTTGATGCCGTGGTACAGTAACTTCTTTGGTCTAGCTTAGATTTGTAACAGTTTTATTCAATTTGTCACTCGGATAAGAAATTTTAAAGCTTTAAAATGTTTAAAACCTTTTGTTGTTTAAAGAATTAATTTTGATTTTGGTAAGATTTTGAGGTGATAACTCAAATTATGCACTAAATAATTGAAGGCATCTATGGAACAATTCCTCATACTATTCTTTCATCCAGAACAAGTTGGAAGTTAGGGATGGACGGGGGTGTTGCAGTCATGCAGCTGGGTGTCCATGTGTTCATTCAGAGTTTGAATGCTTTTACTTTAAAACAAATGATTGCACAAAGTTCAAACTTGGTATGGATTACTCTTGGGACGAGAAACAGCCTTTTGTTCTTTTATTAAAAACAGACTTTTCTTGTCCAGGACCTGACTTAACAACAAATAATTGAATAAATTTAAGATTTGTATTTGTATTGCCCAAAAGGAGAGGAAGAACGTTAACCCTATACATTTTGGGTGTGGTTTGTCAAAGGTCGGGTCTCTCTTACTGAAAATAGAAAAGAAATGTTATTGATATAATACTGTGAATAACAAATATTACATTGTACTCAGGGATGTTTTGAGGTCAGGGTATGCTGTCCCTAGTGTTAGCATTGATCCCTTTCCTCTGCATGCTGTATATGTTGATGTCTTCAAATATACAATCAGGATTGTGAATACCTTAATTTTCTGCTATGTACAAAAAGATTCAAAGAAATCCAGTTTGTTAATCCATGTTAGGAAAAGGAAGCATTGTGATGGAAAAAAAAAAATGGTAAAAGTACATCACTATGCTTATAATTACTTGTCTTAACCTTCATAATGAATACTGGATTACCTCTATATATAGTCTGGGGCCCCTTTCGTGTATACTGAAAGAAAAACGACAGGTGCAGATCTGAACCAAGGCTGACCTCAGGAAAATTTGGCACATGTAGATTGAGGGGTCCAGACGTACGTACCTGACCGAAACTAAAATGCTGACTCTTGCTAGTTTGTTTTATTTCTTTATGAAACAAGGTCTAGCCACATTTAGATTCTAAGATACATTATACAATTTAGTGGATGCATGAAAAGACTATATTATTCTTGAAACATTTTTATTTATTCTCCGAAACTGCATTTTTTAGCTTTGCCTACAGTTTTGGTCCAAGCGCGTTGGTTTATCATGGAATATTTCTGTGCCACCTGAACTGTTTCAAACGGGATACGTGAATATAACCTAGTTTGATATTTTTATTAACTGATTTTACATCTCTATCATCCATTTAAGAATAATCTGTTTTATACACCAGATTAGGGTATCGTGTCGTTTATCTATAAGATGTTGTATATTTATTTCAGATCGTATCCATGTCATTGACTGCCTCCCGCACGTGTGGATGTTGGACGGCAGACTTGTCACCTGTAAGTATTAAATATTATACAGTGTCGGACTGAGTAGGTGTGGATATTAAATCTCGGACTCCAGTCTCTGATCTTCAATCACACAATTTGTCAACTCTTGCAGTAGGATATGTATTGTTAAACTTTAACATACAAAACCTTTCAATCCCGTATAAAATTGCTATGTGGAGGCACACTTACTGGAGCGTTATGACATGTGCTCTCTTTACAAATGCGTTTCAATTTTGTCAGAATGAAGGAAGCAATATCTTTATATATACATGTATAATAATGACATGAGAATTGATTTTCTGCTTTTCTTTATAAAAGATCAAAACTCAGAGACTGTGTAATAAATGTTTGCAATATGGTTTTAGGAAAATTTATCACCTGCAATATAAATAGAAATATTTTAACCTAGTAAATTTATGAAATATTCATCTGAGAATAACTGAAATATATTTGGTCTAAGTAGAAAAAAACAATTAACTTTATTCATTTTACAATAATTATGAAACAAGTTCTATCAGCATATGTTGATTATTCATCCGCTAACATCCGGGCCAACAAGAGTGATTAATATAAGTTGAAATAACTTGTTTCATAATTGTTGTAAAATAAGTAAAGTTTATTGGTCATTCATGTGACCTTTTATATAATTGGTCTGGTGGTGCAGTGGAGAGCGTACTTCTGGACAGAGATATTTTAAATGAGGCCACTAACATTTGATATTTTTGAATTCTTGTTCTGATGACGATTAGTTGTACATCGGGTACTCAATCTGATAATTGAATGGTTAGTTTAATATTGACAACTCATTCTAATGATTGGATCATTAGTTGTTTGTTGAGGACTTATTCTGATGACTTGAATCTGATGATTGGATAATAAGGAGTTGAACCCAAGACCTCTGGTTTACTAGTCTTGTGCTCTACTGAAGGAACTGGAGAGAATTTCTCCCTGTTCAATTCTATTGGAAGCAATAAGTGTCTTGTACCAGCCTAGTGGCATATACTCCCCCCTCCAGGAAAGAACTTGTCTCGCGTCTTTCAGGGGTCAAAATGATTCCTGTGATTGTATCACTGAGTATATTTGTCAATATTTCCCGGGACCCTTACAAGGGCACCAATGTAACAGAGGTCACAACATATATTTTGGTTTACTAATCTTATACTCTCCTGAATCAGCTAAAGAGAAATCCTCCCCGTCCGACTCAGAAGGAAGCACTAGCTAATACGTTTTACCAGGGCGACATTAGTTTTAACTATGTAGAAGAAATTGAACTTTGAAGTATCATTGACAAGACTTCGACTAAGTTGACAACACTATGCATGTACATGTGTCAGTCTCCCTACAGTACAGGCTGGTAAAACCTGATCCCTTATGTATAATTATGTGGACATGTATATAGCTCTCAAGTTCAAGTGGTCTGTGGATTAAATTTAATACACATGAAGTTAACTTGAGTTATCTAAGGGATTAGTACCATGTATAGCCATATCCTATTAATTCCTGACAAAAACATGGTAATTGGTCGATTGTGGAGATAGTCCTTCACTTTTAAATATTTTATAGTGAAACTAGATTTAAATTAGGACTTTAAAACATGTATTCACTTTACATGCTGTGCTCAGTCATCTGAAGAACTTAGTTCTTATGTCTGACCTAACTGTAATCTGTTTACTGTATATGCCAAAATTAGCGCCCATCCTTGATAAGCATGGTACCCCTCCCCTTTCTGCAGCATTTGTTGAATTATTTATTTAAGTGTCCCCTTTTCCAAACACCCTCTACAGTCGTTATAAAAAGTAAAGTAAACTTACCCTATCAAACTCTTAATAATTTAATTAATTATTGACGTCACCAGACTGGAGATCAGATGTCTCCATTAAAACAGCATTACTCTTAAGGAAATTCATGAGAACCAACCAATTATCATTTTATAGTTTAATTTACATTCCAAATAGTTCACAATAGCTAGGCCACATTGAAATATTCAAAGAAAAATGTGTCTTATTTTTTATAAGTCTTCAACATATTTTGAAAGTATAACTTGATTAATCTAACAGGGTCCGATGTCATGATATAAAAAAAAAATTATTATAGTATTGATTACAGTTACAATGGAGCAGGCATGTAATTGGTCGATTGTGGAGATAGTCCTTCACTTTTAGATATTTTATAGTGAAACTAGATTTAAATTAGGACTTTAAAACATGTATTCACTTTACATGCTGTGCTCAGTCATCTGAAGAACTTAGTTCTTATGTCTGACCTAACTGTAATCTGTTTACTGTATATGCCAAAATTAGCGCCCATCCTTGATAAGCATGGTACCCCTCCCCTTTCTGCAGCATTTGTTGAATTATTTATTTAAGTGTCCCCTTTTCCAAACACCCTCTACTCTGGCCCCTCTCTTGTTAACAAAATATATTATACATTTATTGCCCTTCGCCTCGTGAAACATGATTAACCTTGGAGAAAAAAGAATCATGTTTCCCTTTAGTAAAGGCAATACATATTTCATTAGGCCAAAAATACATAAATAGAAACAATAGCACAATTGTAGAGATGATCAGGTTGAGGCGTCATAGTTGTCGCCTGCTTCCGTCGTTTGGATCTAGGTTTTGGTGGCTCTTACACATTTACAAAAGAGCTCCAAATAAGTGAAATATGACCAGGGAGTGTGTGAGGGTGACAATGGTTTATTGCCCTGTCACATGACCAGAATCATTCTATTAGACACGCTGTTATAAAGATGAGGTATAACAATATTTTAAACATAAACTTTAACCTTAATCTAACAAGACTGTTTTCCAGTGTTTAAAAATAGTAGATAACAATTTTGGAATTCTGCCAGGGAAAGTGTCTGACAGTTAAGTCAAACTGCCAAAACCCATGTTTTGTGATCATAATAAGTGCCCCCTTCAACCAATTTTTTATGCCCCAGTGTGCTTATTACAGCAAATAAGGTATATCTATAGAGGCATTCAAAGAGTTTGTTTGCTAACCATGCCCTGCATACCAATTCAGATTTTCTTTTAGATTATAAGTGCTAGTGCCTTTATTAAATTCTGATTATACAAGATCTCACAATATTGTAAATTTGTGTTGTATTTTTTTACAGTCGTTATAAAAAGTAAACTTACCCTATCAAACTCTTAATAATTTAATTAATTATTGACGTCACCAGACTGGAGATCAGATGTCTCCATTAAAACAGCATTACTCTTAAGGAAATTCATGAAAACCAACCAATTATCATTTTATAGTTTAATTTACATTCCAAATAGTTCACAATAGCTAGGCCACATTGAAAAATGTGTCTTATTTTTTATAAGTCTTCAACATATTTTGAAAGTATAACTTGATTAATCTAACAGGGTCCGAAGTCATGATATAAAAAAAATATATTATAGTATTGATTACAGTTACAATGGAGCAGGAATGTAATAACCTGTAAGATGATACAGTTAATATTACATTAATATAGAATTATAGGATTGATCAACGTATAATGAGGTCACTGAACGGGTAATAAAGGTGTAACTTAAGAGTTGTATTATATACCTGGACTAACGACATACCTGCTCCCAGTCACACGGTAAACACACGACACAAAGACAATATTTTATTGGTAAACTCAATAGGGCTAGGGTTGTGCTTTCATGCATATAATACATGTATCAATGTTTATCTGTTTTGTTTAAGGTAAACATAGGTGTTAGTTCTGTGGCGGTTGTTTTGGCACCTGTAGATTGTTTATAAGACAAAGGGGTGTACCTCGACTAAACAGACAACATGGTTGTACATACAGGTATCAAGTTTCCTCACCTTAACATGTTGCTATAAGCTAAATTGTTTTAAGCTGACCTGGTCAGAAGATTGATTGCCTTTAACATAAAATTATTCTCATTTCTTATCATAACTATCAAGTATTGATAACATAAATCAACAACACTAGTTGTTTTTTCTGAGAAATTATAAATAAATTACTAAATCAAATCAAAACACAGGCATGCATCATCACCAAGAAAAAATCCCAACCAAAATGAAAAAAAAAGTTCCAAGTTTCAAGTCGGTAATGAAAAACATGTCTGCTCCCAAATAATCGGAACTGTAATTTTCAATATTTTTTACACCAACCAATGCAACTTTACAACCATAATCCCTGTGATGCATTATACACCCTTGTCCATGTACAATCATGTGATGTACTGGGCTATGTATTACCTACCCGCTTTGGTGTACTGCTAATATAGCTATATGAAATGTAATTCAGTAGACAACACATTCTAGGGTTGACTGGTTAACTAAGGCAGAAATAGGATGTATAGATCATATATTCACCAATATAAACACTAGATCACAGTGATAGTATTATTATCTTAATAAGATCATGTATGAGAATGGATGGTTGTGTGGTAATGACATAGATCAGAATGCTGTGGTTGTGCAATATGGAGTCTGTTGTTTGGTACACTGTAATACTGTGACATGGTGCCTGTTGTTTGGTACACTGTAATACTGTGACATGGTGCCTCTTGTTTGATACACTGTAATACTGTGACATGGTGCCTGTTGTTTGATACATTGTAATACTGTGACATGGTGCCTGTTGTTTGGTCCACTGTAATACTGTGACATGGTGCCTGTTGTTTGATACACTGTATTACTGTGACATGGTGCCTGTTGTTTGGTACACTGTAATTCTGTGACATGGTGCCTGTTGTTTGGTACACTGTAATTCTGTGACATGGTGCCTGTTGTTTGGTACACTGTTATACTGTGACATGGTGCCTGTTGTTTGATACACTGTAATACTGTGACATGGTGTCTGTTGTTTGGTATACTGTAATACTGTGACATGGAGTCTGTTGTTTGGTACACTGTAATACTGTGACATGGAGCCTGTTGTTTGGTACACTGTAATACTGTGACATGGAGCCTGTTGTTTGGTACACTGTAATACTGTGACATGGAGTCTGTTGTTTGGTACACTGTAATACTGTGACATGGTG